CGGCACTCCCTCAGCACTGACCCTCCGACAGTGCGGCACTCCTTCAGCACTGACCCTCCGACAGTGCGGCACTCCCTCAGCACTGACCCTCTGACAGTGCGGCACTCCTTCAGCACTGACCCTCCGACAGTGCGGCACTCCCTCAGCACTGACCCTCCGACAGTGCGGCACTCCCTCAGCGCTAACCCTCCGACAGCGCGGCGCTCCCTCAGCACTGACCCTCCGACAGTGCGGCGCTCCCTCAGCGCTGACCCTCTGACAGTGCGGCACTCCCTCAGCATTGACCCTCCGACAGGGCGGAGCTCCCTCAATATTGCATGAGGGTCAGTGAGCTCCTGAGGTTGGATGTGACTCATGTATCTTATGACTCGGAAGCACATGTGCTGCTATCTGACCCACTGCTGCAGAAAGGAGTATGTGAGGATGTGGGCCTAATTGGATAGTTCTATCAAAGAGACAGCAGGTATGATGGGCCAAATAGAATTCCCCCATCATGATGTTCTCACTGTTCATTTCTCCCCTGTAATTTGTAAGCGCTGATAATTTGAGAGGCTCCGCCTCAACTATTGGGACCATGTGTTCACACACTGACAACTCAACAAGACGGCATCCAATCAGAAATCTTACAGGTTCATTCCCAGCATTCCGTGGCCTCCCAGAGAGTTTGGTGGGGGCAACATTGCTCCTCCATAACTCTGTAAGAGAAAGGGAAAGCAGATCAGAATTAATGAGCATTTGTGAGAAATCTAGGGACTATCAGGGAGAGAACATGTTGGTCAGCCAATTAGCACATGGAACAGGGTGGTCTTTACCCCTTTGTATTGCCCCAGGCTAGGGCTCAGTGTGACAGAAGACTGTATATTTGTGTGATTGAGTCATGGGGTAGCAATGTAACCCAAGAGACTATTGAAGAATGGCCTCCTCAGGGTATTGCAATGTGTCACAGTCACAGAGTGCTCTGGCATAGATGGAGGCCATTCAGCCCATTGTTCGATGACATGTCCTCACTGGGGCCCCATAATGGTTGTCTCCTACTGACTCCACCCCTGGCAGTTTACGAGAACCAATCCAGGACCTGCCTGAGCTGCAACACTGAGGAAGACCAGCATCTGGACACTCCCCTAGGCTATTCCTGATGGACCGAATGGCTACCAGCCACTCTCTCCATAGAGGCAGTCTGAGGGTCAACCAAAAATTTACAACAGAAAGAGGACACTATGTACAAGCTGGAGACAGAATTAATGTGGGGGTAGCAGAACTAGCCACCTCACAGACCAGATTAATTCATGTCTCACAGTCTGAATTTTTGGATGCTCTATCTCTGGGTCAATGGCTGTGGTCACTTCACTTACCTGTGGTCCCAGGCTAGTGAGACCACGGGGAGCACTCATCCTCTGTATCGGACCAGAGACACCGAGGGGCCCTGGTTTAGAGAGAGAGAGAGAGAGAAATCCACGTCAGAAATACAAACCCACACCCAGGGGCCTGCTAGAAAACACTGACACACTCCCCCCCAGGGACCCCCCCTAAACACTGACACACCCTCCCCCAGGGACCCCCCGTAAACACTGACACACTCCCCCCCAGGGACCCCCCGTAAACACTGACACACTCCCCCGCCAGGGACCCCCTGTAAACACTGACACACTCCCCCCCAGGGACTACCTGTAAACAGTGACACAATTCAATACATTTACTGTTGGGCTGTATGTTATGGAGGCTGTCATTGTCCTGCCTGTATACCAATGACCCACACACTGCAAGGCTACTGGCTGCATTCAGACTGTGCACGGGGTAGGAATGAGGGGACAGTGAGAATGGAAACTCCATCCCTCTGAGTGATGATGTCCCCCACCCTCGGGAGGTGTCCACTGGTGGGATGGAAGTCAGTCAGGGAGGGGCATCGAGTGGGCTGGAGTGGGGGCTCTCAGGTTTGGCTAACTCGGTGGGGATGAACCAAATGGGACTGGTATTGTCATGGGCTACTCACAGTGCACCCCCTGAGAAACATCCTGAACCCACCCTCCATCCCACCTTCCCACTTCTTTCAACAACTGCCCTTGCCCCCTTCCCTTTCCCAACCCAGTGTCCTCCATTATTCCTCCCTCTCCATGGCTCCCTGAATCCTGTACGACCCACATGCTCACACAAGAACACAAGAACACAAGAACTAGGAGCAGGAGTAGGCCGTCTGGCCCTTCAAGCCTGCTCCGCCATTCAATAAGATCATGGCTGATCCTTTCGTGGACTCAGATCCACTTACCCGCGTTCTCACCGTATCCCTTAATTCCTTTATTGTTCAAAAGAAATCTACCTTTTTTTTAAAAAGCGTTTACTGAAGTAGCGTCAACTATTTCACTGGGCAAGGAATTCCATAGATTAACAACCCTCTGGGTGAAGAAATTCCTTCTCAGTTCAGTCCTAAATCTGCTCCCTCTAATCTTGAGGCTGTGCCCTCTTGTCCTAGCTTCACCTGCCAGTGGAAACATCCTCTCTACTTCTATCTTATCTATTCCCTTCATAATTTTATATGTTTCTATAAGATCCCCCCTCAATCTTCTGAATTCCAATGAATATAATCCCAATCTACTCAGTCTCTCCTCATAAGCCAACCCCCTCAACTCCGGAATCAACCTAGTGAACCTCCCTTGCACCCTCTCCAGTGCCAGTACATCCTTTCTCAAGTAAGGAGACCAAAACTGCACACAGTACTCCAGGTGTGGCCTCACCAGCACCTTGTACAGCTGCAACATAACCTCTCTGCTTTTAAACTCAATCCCTTTAGCAATGAAGGACAAAATTCCATTTGCCTTCCTAATTACTTGTTGTACCTGCAGACCTACCTTCTGTGATTCATGCAAAAGGACACCCAGGTCCCTCTGCGTGGCAGCATGCTGCAACTTTTTACCATTCAAGTAATAATCCTTTTTACTATTACTCCTACCAAAATGTATGACTTCACATTTATTTACATTGTATTCCATCTGCCAGACCTTTGCCCACTCACTCAATGTATCTATGTTCCTCTGCAAAGTTTCACAGTCCTCTGCACACTTTGCTTTGCCACTCATCTTAGTGTCATCTGCAAACTTTGACACCCTACACGTGGTCCCCAGCTCCAAGTCATCTATATAAATTGTAAATAATTGCGGTCCCAACACCGATCCCTGAGGCACACCACTAGTCACTGACTGCCAGCTAGAATAGCACTCATTTATCCCCACTCTTTGCTTCCTGTTAGTCAACCAATCCTCTATACATGCTAATACTTTACCCTTAATGCCATGCATCCTTATCTTATGCAGTAGTCTCTTGTGCGGCACCTTGTCAAAGGCCTGTTGGAAGTCTAGGTACACCACATCCACTGGGTCCCCATTATCCACCTCGCTCGTAATGTCTTCATAGAATTCCAAAAGATTTGTCAAGCATGACCTGCCCTTCATGAACCCATGCTGCGTCTGCCCAACGGGACAATTTCTATCAATATGCCTTGCTATTTCTTCCTTGATAATAGACTCAAGCATCTTCCCCACTACAGAGGTCAAGCTAACTGGTCTATAATTCCCCATCTTTTGTCTACTTCCCTTTTTAAACAGTGGCGTCACATTTGCTGTTTTCCAATCTGCTGGGACTGCCCCAGAGTCCAGCGAATTTTGGAAAATTACCGCCAGTGCACATGCTATTTCTCCCGCCATCTCTTTTAGTACCCTGGGATGCATTCCATCAGGGCCAGGAGACTTATCAATCCTTAGCTCCATTAGCTTGCCCAACACTACCTCTTCCGTAATTATGATTGTTTCCAGGTCCTCACCTACCTTCGTCTCTTTGTCAATTACTGGCATGTTATTAGTGTCCTCCACTGTGAAGACCGATACAAAATACCTGTTCAGTGCCTCGGCCATTTCATCATATCCCATAACTAAATTCCCCTTCTCATGCTCTAAAGGGCCAACGTTTACTTTAGCCACTCTTTTTCGTTTTATATATTTATAGAAACTTTTCCTATCTGTCTTTATATTCTGTGCTAGTTTTTTCTCATGTTCTATCTTACTTTTCCTTATAGCTCTTTTTGTGGCTTTCTGTTGACCTTTAAAGTTTTCCCAATCTTCTAGTTTCATGCTGTTTTTGGCCACTTTGTATGCCTTCTCTATCAATTTGATAGCCTCCCTTATTTCTTTAGACACCCATGGCAGATTACCCCTTTTCTTACAGTCCTTCCTTTTTATTGGAATATACTTTTGCTGAGCACTTTGAAAGATTCAATGAATCACAGGATTCATTGTAATACTCTTCCCAGCATGCTGATACAATGAGAACAGTGACCGCTTGATCGGAGTGTTCACTCTCCATCAACCAGGTATAGTTTGGAATTGAGATTCCCCAAACAGGGAGAGATTTCTGAATCACTGATCTGAGGTTAACCTGCCCTTTCCGAGCTCACTGGGCCAATCACACATCAGTCCCCAATAACACAGATCCCAGATCCCGAAGGTAGTTCACTGGATAAACCAATAGGAGCAGTTTCCACCCTCTCTGGGGAGTCTGATTAAAATATTGTTTGGGGTTTCTCTGTTGGGGTATAGTTACATTCTCTCCTTCGACTGTCCCAGACACAGTGAGAAACTGTAACATCAACACCACATGCAGTGCTGGTCCTGCTGTGCACTCTTGCTGGACATAAATCAGTTCCCCCACCCCAACCCCACCCTTTCCCCGGTCTTCACCCCCACCATTACCTCCATCCAATCCCCAGCCTCACACCCATCCCTTACCCCATCCATCACCCACCTCATCACCCTCTCTCCCAGCCTCTTCCCACACCTTCACCTTCACCTCCACCCTTAGCCCATCCCACATTCTCACCGCACCCCCACCTCGGTAGTGGGCCCAGGGAGGATCTCAGTCCCAGGGATAACGGTTGTGAACATTATGAAGACTGGTGTCAGACAGGTGTGTAAGAGCCCAGGCCCCCCGCTCTCTCGTGCTAACCTTCCTGCCTTGTGGGTTCCAGGGTGTTTGGCAACAGGGGCTGGGAGCCTGGCACTCCAGCAGGTGGCTGTGGGAATAAAGCAAAGACAGGAGGGTTACCATGGAGTACTCCAGCTCCCAGCCCCACTTCCCTCACCCAGTCTCACCCACCCTTCCCACTCACCCTCATCCCCACCAGTACCAACCCCTACGTCCTCACCCAGTCTCACCCACATCACACCCACCCCTTCCCACTCACCCTCATCCCCACCATCTCCCACCCCCACCTCCCTTGCCCAGTCTCACCCACATCACACCCACCCTTTCCCATTCAACATCATCCCCACCAGTTCGCACCCCCAAGGCCCTTACACTCCCTGTCTGTCCCTCCCTTTGCTGCCTCAGACTCTCTGTGGGTATAACACTGAAGAAGTGTGACATAGTGATGAAGGTAATAACCATTTGATTTTGTCCTGTCTCCCTGACACAGTGCAGTTGTCAAATGTGTTCATCCCCTTGTTCTTGTGCCCCCCTCCCACATATGGATGAGGTGGGGAGTCTGTCTAGCTGGGGGCTTGGGTCAGCCCCTGCCTGATGATAAAGGAGTTGTTGTCTCTCTGGTACGGGCTGTATCTGCTGAGCAGATATGATGCTGGGCCAGGATCCTCCTGCATAAAGTGTCTGTTCCCCAGCTTCCAACCTCTGCCCCTTTATCATCACTTGCTTCACAATTAGTAACGGATAAAGAGAAGTCCTTATCTGGAGGGTGTGGGTACCAGTGGATTATTGCTGGTTCCTAGTTGCTGGGAACTGTAGTGATTGTAATCAGGTCAGCCAGATGGCCCTCAGAACGTGAGTTCCCTGATTGGGGCTGTTAACCTGGGCCAATCAGGGAGCCCTGGCTGACAGATATAAACAGGAGTGTCAGAGGTTCTGTTCACTCTGAGAACTGGCTCTGAGAGCTCTCCATGTGTAAATAAAGGGTGACTTGGTGATGGGATACCAGTCTCTATGGAGTTATTTCAGTCACTCTCTTGAACTCCTGGCAATGGCTTTGATCTGAGGGTATGCCTGCTGGGCCAGTTCCTCCCACAGTTGTGCATCAACCTTCTTAGTGTGGGGAATGTAGTCACATATAAGGCCTGACTGAGGAGGGACAGCAGGTTTCCTCTCCCTAAATCACAACCCAGCAACGGGTTCTCATTAACAACATTCCAATCAGTTCACTGTCACCTTTCCTGGGGCCATATTTTTAAAACTGAATGCAAACTCTCAACCTGCCACAATGGGTTTGAATCTCATGTTTCTCTGGTTTATTGTCCCTTCAGCAGAAACACAAAACTACCAGATCCCAAATTTAACTTTTGACATACAATAAATATTCGTAAAAAGAATGTATGCAGGGTGTGGGGAAACAGCAGGAGGAAAGGGACAAGTTGGATCGATCTCTCACAGAGCGAGCACAGCTGCGATGGGTTGAATGGTCTCTACAGGATTGTAATGACCCCTCCACATTCTGATGTTTTGGTATTAACTGGAATGTAGCAGCTTCACAAGAAACAGGGAAATGTCTCGGCATGGGCCAGGCCCAATACAACATTGATCAATCTGAACCATCGCCCAGACGGAGGGAAATATCTTGGGCGCTGAGCCAGAATGAGTGGCAAGACCCCACTACAATAAACACCACTGTGTTATTGGATGACCCACTCTTCAGTTTGTTTGATTCCAACCCTCTGTACTCACCTGTGCTGACATTCGGAGGGAGGAGCGAGCGTTGCCGGGGTATCGAGGAGACATGAATGGCTGGTAGGGACAAAGACAAACCAATCACAGACTGGAACCTTACGCCAGGCCCATGCAGACTCACTGAAAACTGACAACTGTGGCAGCACAGTGAGGCAGATCTGCAGAGAGGTCAGTGCACTGATCACATCCCTTCAAATAACTCCCTGCAACACTGCACTGCACTCACAACCAACATCCCTTTCATCAAACACTCCCAGGACAAGGTCAGCATAGGATTAGATACAGAGTAAATCTCCATCTACACTGACCCCATTAAACACTCCCAGGACAGGGACAGGATGGGGTTAGAAACAGAGTAAAGTTCCCCCTGCACTGTCCCCCCATCAAACACTCTCAGGGCAGAGACAGCATGGGGTTAGATACAGAGTAAAGCTCCCTCTACACTGTACCCAACAAACAGTCCCAGGACAGGGACAAGATGTGGTTAGATACAAAGTAAAGCTCCCTCTACAGTGTGTTGAATGGGTTCTGAGTGGTCCAACTCATTTATGAAAGATGTCAAAAACTGTAAACTGGGTCATAACTGTTTGGCCTTGGCTCTGTATCCTCTATCCAACAAATCCTAGTAACTCAGTCTTCAAACGTGCAATTTCCCTCCTGCTTTTTGGGGAGAAAAATTTCAGATTTCCAAATACAGCTCCAGGTAGGTCTGGCCAGGATGCACATGGAGAGGATATTGCCACTTGTGGGGGCATTTAGAATTGGGGGATACTGTTTAAAAATCAGAGGATGCCCGTTTAAGAGAGAGGACAACAAATTATTTTCTTAGGATTGTGTGTCTTTACAGCCCTCTTTCTGAAAAGGGGTGGAAACAGACTCCGTGAACATTCCGAAGGTAAATAGAGATTCTTGTTAAGCAAGGCAGGGTGAAAGATGATCGGGCTGGATAACATTGTGGAGTACCAAGAATTGAATTATTGAATGGTACAGCAGCAGGCCTGAGGGGCTGAGTGGCCTTCTCCTGCTCCTCACTCACATTTATCTGTGCAACCCCCTGTTCCATATGAGGAAGTGCTTCCTGACACTGCCCGTGAATGGTCTGTCCCAGGGTTTTGAGGTTTTGCCTCTTGTTCGGGAGCACACCCCCGCCCCATCCCCAACCACAATCTCACCATCATCAGAGGCAACTGTATCTCTCCATTGTTCCAGACACCCTGAGCCTGGTGTGTAACAGTCTGGTATTTACCACGACGCTATCACCCCACCATCCCCCACCTCCAGACCCCATCACTCCCCTCTGAGCAGACACCCTACACTCCCGCTCCATTCTGAGGGTCTGCCTCTGTCTCTTGCCCAGCGTCCCCCACACTGGGATCAGGAGCCGTTTGCCTCACAATATTGGGCAGCACTTACCTGAGTGTGGGGGCCCATGATGGGGTTGCTGGGGTTGTGCGGAGGGGTCTGCGTGGGGCCAGGTGGCTGTGATCCAGGGGGCACCTGTAACAGAAAGCAAACAAAATGATGAGTGACAAGTTGGACAGACACGACATGTCTGCAGGACGACAGGGTGAAGAGTGAGAGACTGGGACTGAGTGGACCAGGCTTTTCAAAGAGTTAGCAGATTCACAATGGGCTGAATGGACTGGCTTTGTATGATGCATGATGCTGTTCATTCTGAGGAGAATTTTAGCCACAGCAGGAGTCTATAGGGCCTGAGCTGGCCTCAGTTCCCTCGAGTCAGAAGTTCAACAACAGCTTCAATGTCATCACTTCATCAAACCCCAAGACCACAGTCTGAGTACCCGGCCCCTGACCCCTGACCCCTGAATCCCGCTCCATGACCCCAGTCCCTGTCAAAAGTGCCTGCATGCGAAGCCAAGAATCCAGCCTGAATGGGTGGGATTGCACATTGGTGCACACCCAGGATAGAGAGCAGGACAATGCCAGCTGTGACAGCATTAGAAAGTGGCTTGCTACCTGAGAGAAAAGGACAAACAATACCCTGCAGTTTCCTGAAACTGACCAAGTCAGTGCAAAAGATCAAGGAATTTCAAACAGAAGCTCTGTCCAGTGCAAATGTAATTTCCATGATCTTTTTCAGGAGTTTGAACAGAGGTTACTTTCTCATAAAATTTCCCAATTCTATTTTATAAACCATTTCACATCTTGTGACAACGCATTGTCTGAAAACGTAATGGAGACATAATCGATTGAAACATTCAAGATGTTTATCTGTGTAAGAATACTGTGTAATGGTACAGAGGGAAGGCAGGAGATTGACATGAGGTGATGATGCTCGAGTAATGGGCTGAATGGCCTCCTTCTGTGATTCTGTGAAATGAGTGAGTGCAAGCTTCAAGCATTAAACCAATGCTGAGCTGAATGTGGGCCTGGATTTACAATATCTCCCACAGTGGGAACTGGGGGCAGGTTTTAACACATCTGTTGTCATCAGGAAAAGCCAACAAGCCAGGGCAAGTTTTCAGAATCAGAGCGAGCACATGGGTGATCGGATGGTTCACCTTTGGACAATGAAAGGGTTTGACAAGGGAGACGAACCAAAGGGAGAGTCCAAAACAAGGATAGGTCACTGTTAAATCCAATCAGGAACCTGGGAGAAACCTTTTTACCCAGAGAGTGGGGAGAATGGGGATGTGACTTCCACAGGGAGTGGAAGAGATTGATACACAATGTCCCCAATTCATGAATGTCCAACTTATGATCAGTACTTATGAATGCGATCCCACACGAGGGTGTAATTTTAAAGATCTGACTTACGAATGTTTCCTGAATTCATGAACAGCTATTTTATACTGTCCTGCATTGTGTTCCAAATTATGAACAAATCAACTTGCAAACAGACTCAAGAATGGAACACATTCGCAGTGCATAAAGGAAGAAATAATGAGAGTGGTCGGGAAGGTACGATGGTAACTATTGGGAGATTCTAATCTACATGTCAACTGGAAAAGTTAGATGGGCAAAAGTACCTGAGATGAGGAGGTCATACAATGTTTTCATGATAGTTTCTTGGAGCTGCATGTTCTGGAGCTGACCAGGGAACAGGCTACACTAGACCCTGGTGTTGTGCAATGAAATGGGATTTATTAATAATCTCATTGTGAAGCTTCCCCTAGGTTGCAGGAACTGTAAAATGATACAATTTTACATACAGGTTAAGGGAGCAACATGTGGGTCTGAGATTATTTTTAAAATTTAAATAAGGACAATTACGAGGGCGTGAAAGCAGAGATGCTAAAATAAATTGGCAAATTATGTTAAACTGTAGGTCAGTTGAGATGCAATGACAAAATTTTAAGGGATATTTCAGAATACACAGAATTGATACTCTCCAACTAGCACGAAATATTCCAAGGGATGGAGGGATTAAGTAATGTCAGTGAGAAAGCTAGCCACAAATATAAACACAGATAGCAAGAGCTTTTATAAATATTTAAAAAGATGGCAGAGGAGTTGAACAAGTATTTTGCATTGGTTTTCCTTAGAGGATACAGTAGCATCCCAGAAGCACCAATACATCAGGAAATGGGGGTTGGAGGGGGGACACACAAACACCAGAGATGTTTTATTGAGTAAATTGTTGGAGCTATGGACTGTCAGCGCCCAGATCCTGATGGATTCATCTTGGAATTTTAAAAGTGGCTTTTCAGGTATTGATGTATTTATTTTAATTTTTCAAACTCACTTGATCTGAGGATAGTCCCATTAGATTGAAAGATAGCAAATGTAACCTCCTTTATTCAAAAAGGGAGGAAACAGAAAGTAGGAAACTATAGGCCAGTTGGGTTACCATCAGTCACACAGAAAGTTATGATAAAATTCTTGGCACTTGAATAAGCTCAAGGTAATCAGGCAGAGTTAACATAGTTTTGTGAAAGGGAAATCATGTTTGACCAAGATAACACAGTGTGGAGCTGGATGAACACAGCAGGCCAGGCAGCATCAGAGGAGCAGGAAAG